CAAAGAGTGGTCGGGCATTGGAACAGGCTGCCCAGGGAGGGGGTGGAGTCCCCATCCCTGGCTGTGTTTAAGGGCCGTTTAGATGCAGTGCTGAGGGACATGGTGTAGGGGAGGACTTTGTAGAGTAGGGGAGATGGTTGGACTCGATGATCCCAAGGGTCTCTTCCAACCTCAATGATTCTATGATTCTACCACCAACCTAACTGTGATAAAACCCATCACTAACCCATGGCTCTAAGCACTATGTCAACCATCTTCTAAATCCCTCCAGGGATGGTGCCTCAACCCCTTCCCTGGGCAGCCCATTCCAAGGCTTAATAACACTTTCAGTGGTAAAATTTTTCCTAAATATCCCATCTGAACCTCCCCTGGGAAACATCTTCAAGGAGAACGTGCACCTGGACATAGGGGAACTGCTCGGCACGGGCTGCACAAGCCCATTTAGGAGCACGTTTGTACTTTAAAGCGTACCAGAAAAGATCATTAACTGCCTTCAGCACCAAACTAATAATTAGCTTTAAAAGTAATTACAATGGTTTTATTTTTAAACGAACAAAAATACCATCAAGTCACTCACCAAGCAAGTCAAGGTCTCAACTTAGGGGAAAAAAAATAAAAAAGAAAATCAGGAAAGGAGGCTGTCAATTTTTGCAGCCCTATAACCCATCTGCAGTATGAACTGTGGGATCGGTGAAATGGAATTTTAGATTGGCCATGGTTAGGTTTCATTTTAATGGAATTGAAACTACTTTTCAGTTATTCCTCAAAGAATTAGAATTTATGCAAAACTGGCATTTTATTCTAATGTCTAGGGCTCTTCTTCAGCCCCGGTACTTCCCAAATCTCAGGACAATTAAACACACAGACTTTTCCTACGGCTTGAGGTACTTCAGAGGCTGGGAAGGAAGAGTGGATTAAAGGACTAGAAAGACTGTGTCTCCACCGTGACAGCTAATCCAAGCATGCTCCAACACACCACGCTCAATGCCAACACGATGCCCCCTTTTATCATTAAAAAGATTATAAAACATCTTTGGCTTACGAAAAAAAAAAACCCCAGAGGTTTTGTAAACCCTATGGAAATACAGAACATATATATATATATGTATATCCCCCTGTATTCGGCACTGGTGGGGCCCCACCTCGAGTCCTGTGTCCAGTTTTGAGCTCCCTGCCACAAAAAAGACATTGAGGTGCTGGAGCGGGTCCAGAGAAGGGCAACAAAGATGGTGAGGGGTCTGGAGCACAAGTCTTGTGAGGAGAGGCTGAGGGAGCTGGGGGTGTTCAGCCTGGAGAAGAGGAGGCTGAGGGGAGACCTTATTGCTCTCTACAACTCCCTGAAAGGAGGGTGTAGAGAGGCGGGGGTCGGTCTCTTCTCCCAAGTCACAGGCGACAGGACAAGAGGAAATGGCCTCAAGTTGCCCCAGGGGAGGTTCAGGCTGGATATTAGGAAAATTTTTTTCACTGAAAGGGTTCTCAGCCATTGGAATGGGCTGCCCAGGGAGGGGGTTGAGGCCCCATCCCTGGAGGGGTTCAAAAGCCGGGTTGATGTAGTGCTGGGAGGGATGGTTTAGTGATGATGCTCCTTGTTTGTTGTGTGGGTGTCTATTTTTGTCAGTTAGGTTGATGGTTGGACAAGATGATCTTTAAGGTCCCTTCCAACCTAGAAGATTCTGTGATTTTATTTTTTTTTTTAATACTACCTGAAAAATTCTTCCAAAGAGATCCAGCCCATGGATTTCTCAGAACTGGAGCCACACCCTACCTTTCCAAAGAGAGTAGGATTTATGGAACAATCTCATAATGCACTGCTGACTGCAGGCTTGGCAACAACAGAGCATCTACTCTGTCTGATAACTGCCCCTTGACATTTGCACCCGCAGATTTTTGAGCTGACAACGTGGCAGGTTCACTAGAAAAATTTGGCAGCCTCCAGTGGAGGGAAGGAAACGTCCTGCTTACCCTGGGGAGCTGTTCCTTCCAGAGGAGGAGCACAGCACGCAGAGAAAGCCCTGCTGCTCTCCCGCGGCTCTTACGCAGCCAAATAAACACTGAGGGTCATTCCAGGAAGCAAAGAACCAGTTTGTTAAAATATAAATAGGCTGAATGACAATAGAAACCAAAAATACACAATTCCTACTCCTGTCACCGCAGCCTAAGGAGAAGAGCTCTGTCCTATCAGAGCAAATCCTCTCCCATCCAGCCCCAGAGAATTTTGACGTTAATGCCCCCGTTTCAGTACCTTGTATTTCTGCCTCAGCTCCTCGGTGTCTTCTTTCTCCACCTCCAGTACACGCCTCCGCTCAGTGGCATCTTCGGCGTAGTCCAGCTTTTTTTATTAAAAAAAAAAAAAGAGAGATGCAATTTTTCCCATAAATACTTTGCCCTACTGATAATGTGTAACTTAAAAACCAGCTGAGGTTTGAAACAGAATATTGGGACGTTGTACTTCACCCTCCCTGGTTTGTCATCCCCCAGCGTAACCCACATGCAATGCGGTTCTGAGATGGGGGCTCCCAGCAGCAGCCTCAGTTTTTCAGAAGTGAAAACCCAAAACCCAGGAATTTTGGATAGAACCCAGACCTCATAACTCAGGCACCCATGGCTACGCAGAGTATGTATTTTGGAGAAGTGGTGATTGAAGAGCATGTTTTTCTTTACCTTTGATGCACAAATTCTCACTTTTAAGTGGAAATGGGAAGGGGTGAGGGGGTGTGGGGGGAGCTCACCTCCATTTCCATGCGCCCCATGCCCATGACATCGTACTTGACGACGATAGGGATGGGATCTGTCCTCCCTGCAAGAGGAACACACACAGAGGGGGGTCAGTGCCCGCGCCGTGGCCACCGCTCGCTTTACACATTGGGTTTGGGTGGTTAGAGATCTTGCCTTGGAGTGCAGAGACCAGAAAGCTACAGTGAACCAAACACGAGCCATTCTCACAGCTTACAGCAAACCTACCCCCCGGCTCCAAACCGGCTGCGCTTCAATGCACCCCGAGCACCTAAAAAAATGTTGTTTTTTTTGAACATTAACTGGTCACGTCAAGTATTCTGGTGGTTAATGTTCAACCAGGACAAGTCCCAGGGCAGGGCTCTACCAGGACTTGAGGAATGAACCTTCCCCTCAACGCTTCCACAGCATCCTCTGAGCAAGTAAAAACACATTAAACACATTTTACTGCCCTATCACATTAATAATGACTGAGGACTTTCCCATAAGAGACGTGGAAGGCTCCCTCCCTCCCTCCCACCCACTTTTGGCCCTTCCAGGAGCGAGGGAAGCTGAGGGAGAAGCCTGGCCCCGACGCCAAAGCGCCTCCATCCCAAGCGAGGGGCCCGGTCCAGGCACCCGCTTCCCCAGCTCCCCCAGAGATGCTCCCCCACTCTCACCTGTAAGCTGTGAAAAGGACTAGTTGCGAAGAAAATTGACTTTGAACTAATCAAACTATGCTGGAGATTTTTATTTTTTTTTTTAATATTTTTTTGTTTTTAAAAACATATCTTTAATCCACTCATAACCAGCCAAACAAAGCAAAATGGGGCAGACAAGCACTTTACTACCACAGCTTTTTTTTTTTTTGGTTTGTTTTAAATTATTATTATTATTTTTGTATTTTTACATCACAACTGGCGCTGTTCGTTGTGATGTAAGCCCACTGAAAAAAAAAGTACTTACCTTACCCGGTGCATACCTTGAGTAAAAAAACAGAAGGTTTTACTTCCCTTATTATTGCTCTTGGGTTTGGTGTAAACAACTGGTTTGTTATACACACATACACAGATATTATACCTTTGGGCTCAAAGATCGACAGGTTTTAATCATGCCAAAAATTGCCATCCACATGCGCAAAAAAGGTTATATAAAAGTCTTTCAAACTGCCTCGGAACAACCTGTACAGGCATCAGCTTCTCCCTGCTGCAATATCAGCCTTCTCCAACTCCAGAGTCCTCCAAAGGAACCTGCTCTGGCCAGACATAATATGTTTTTTTTTTTTCTTTTAGAAACAAATTAATTAAATTAATTATTTTCTGGTTAATTTATACACCTGTACATTCGACAGGCGTGTATCCACCAAGTCCAAATATCTTTGGTGCACTGGTCCCAAATGGTGTTTTGCATGGAGCCTTCGTCGGGGTCTTCGAAGCGCTCCGCGTTTGAAGGTGTTTCTCTTACGCCCAATGGTATAATAAAGTAAGCAGTGACTGCAATTTTTAGCAAAAGGACCAAATTAAAGACAGGTTATAAAAATGACTTCCTAAGTGCAATATCACTTTCATAACGTCTCAGCCAGGGATTTACTGGTAAGTGGTGAACCCAAATGGAATGGTTGGCAGCGAGTGCCAACAATTTATTTAATTTATTATTTTTAAGCTTTTTTCTTTTTGTTTTGATTTTTTTTTAATTTTTGTTTGTTTGTTTCTCCAGCAATCAAGATCTTTCAATGCAGCCTCATTGCCCTGGTAAACCCCTGCATACATCAATGCATCAGTACTTTTGCCTTCTAAGGCAGTCAAAGTTTTTGGGTTTGGTTTTTGGTTGGTTTTTTTTATTTATTTATTTCAAAATCTATTTGGAAATTGCAGTAGCAAGTGCTAGTGCCCATTGTGTTGGGGGAAAAAAAAAAATAATCAAGTTTGGACAGTATTAGAAATTTACGTTTAAACTGATTTTTTTGGCAGTTCTAACACAAACAGAAACATCCCTTCTTAGCAATACCCTTTAATGAACAAGGATCAGACAAGTGTGCATAAAGAAAGGAAAGGAAAGGAAAATGAAAGACCAAGCAGAAGGATGATGGCTACAACAGAGAAAGTAAAGCCTAACATATTGGTGCACTGATGACAAAAGGAGTAATTCAGTCTGAAAATAAAAAATTACCACTGCTAAGTTTACCATCACCACAACAAGTCCAGGATCATAACGCTGTAAAAAAGAAACACCATTTGTTAGGCAGAAACCATCAGGGGCAGAAAATAGGCCGTTTGTAGTAGGCAGGTAGGATGGGTTAAAAAAAAAAAAAAATAATCAAAATGATAAAATAATAGTAATAGGAGGCTTCTTCCTCACCCCTCCACCCCATCACCAGGCTTTGCCCTGTGGAACCAGGGAGTGGGCAGGCTTTGAGCTGTTGTTATTGGGTGTCGAGCAGAGGTTTGGGTGCTGGGAGCTGTCGAGCTCCTGGTGACGGTCCCATTTAAGAGAGGCACCAAGGGACAGTTAAGCAGGCGGTTTAAAAAGGAAACAAACCAATATTTTGGGGTCAAATGGAGCTCTGTTTTCAGGTAAGAGGAGAACATTCAATGCGGAAAGCAATGCCTTTGTTTTAAGCTTAACCACCATTTCATGACAAAGGAAATACCCCGGCAGTGGCCAGTGGGGACATCCAGGTGACAAGGGCCACTGGGGACATCCAGGTGACAAGGGCCACGTCCAGGGGCAGGTAACACAGCTGGGGACAGCAGGGCCACCGTCCCCACCACCGACCCCTCGCTCTGTGTCCCCAGAGAGCCACGGGCTCGGTGTTGCCAAAGGGCCACTGGTCACCCCGCTGAGTGCCAAGAGGCTGGGCTGGGAGCTGGAGACCAGCCCAAGGGGAAAATAGGACTTTTTAAAGTGAAGCTCTCTAAGTTCTCCTTTTTAAAGAACTTCCCAAGAAAATTGATTCCAGAGCTACCGTGCATGACAAGGGGATTTTACCATGGAAACGTGGTTCTCGGCCGTTGTGGGGCTCCCAGGTTTAGGGCTCCTGCTAACCCTTTTGGGCACGGCGACACACTTCGAAGGGAAAAACCGAGATTTCAAGAAAAAAAAAAAAAAAAGCAACAATTGCCACGCTTCATGCCACTGTGCAGGGTTGCAAGCGCTGCCACACCGACAACTAACACCCCCCAACGATACATCATGCAGAACACACACAGCTGTGTCCGTGTCCCATCCCCCTAACACCCCAGAAAATGTTATTTTCTTCCATTCTATTTTCACAAACTCCTTCCTTTAGAGACTGGACACATCACACAGGCTGCAACCCCCAACGCAGAGAGGGCTGGTGTATAAAATGCTTCCACACGAGGGAAAAAAGCTCTTATTTTCTCATCCTCACAGAGGGTAAAGCATAAACTTCCAACGGGATGAGAAAACCAAACAGCTTACTCTGGAGTTGTACCTTAGAAAATCTAATCACATCAAGTAAATTAAATTAGTAATTATTTCCTTAACTCAGAAATGAAATGCCATTTCAAAACTGACCAGATGTACTCGCTTTGTTCCCCTCTTCCCAAAGAAACAGGGAAACCTTTGCGTGAAAAAACCCCTCACTCCCTAAATCCTCCCCCCTGCCCAGAGCCCCCCCAGCCACAGGGAGGAATTCTCCAAATTCACTCATTTTTAACTGCACAAAGTTATTGGGTCTAAGCAAATACTTTGCCAGCAGTGCTTTAAATTAATCAATCAAATTAAATTAATCAAAAGAGTGAATCCTTTTATTTTGGAGCTTTAGCCCCCGTGGGGTGGGGGGGCCGTGTCCCACCGAGCTCCGGCTCCGGGCACGGCGGGTGGATGCTGCCCTGCTCTTGGGAACAGGCCATGGCACCAGATGGACCCACCATCTGAGCCCGTCTCCAAACCCTGGCATTGTCAACACTGCACACATTTTCTATTTTTTTTTTTATTTTTTTTTTTTAAACAGTCAAAACAGAAAACAATTTTCATCGAGAATGTGTAGATTCAGAAGTCCCTCCCTCCAGTAATATCATGCTCTACCATAGATACAAGAAGATTCTGATGGTCTGTTTAAAGAGAGAGGGAAAAAAATGGGATGCTCCCATTGAAAAAAAGAAGATATACCCCCAAAATTATGCACTAACATAATTCACTCAAATATATCTCCATGTATCACTAATGCAGAGCACATAGGCACCACAGAGGTAATAGAACAGCCTTAATCCTGCTCACTGTGTTGACTACTTAATAGAAATTCCTCCCAGGTGCAAGCTTTGTGGGATATAATCCCAGAGGAGTGACTGGTATCACACTCTTCATCGGAAAATTTCATGAACTGAGCATCTCGGGAGGACACAAACCACGGGACATGAGCTGGTTGAGCACAGAGGATTTTTTCCTTATTTGCTATCTTTATACTACAACCCAACCCAAAACCACGGGTAAGGGATAACCTTCCAGGAGGTTTTAATTGCTCGTGGGAAGGGCTGACTGCAGAGGTTGGAGCCACGGCCATGCCAAGGCAGCAGCGGGGAGTTCCCCGACCTGGGTTTGCTGGGGTGGGTGAGGGTCGGTTTGGGGGGTCCCTGAGCCACAAATCAGGTGTGGGCACCCACGGGGCATCATCCACAGCCCAACAGCCCTCACGCTGACAGCTCAGACTCCTCACTCAGTATCAAATGGGGAGAGGGGAGGAAATCCACTGTTTTTCCTGAGGAACAAGCCCTGGCAGGCTCTGCTGCTCCTCTCTGGAGAGAAGTGACACTACATCATCCAGCTCATCCGACTGCTGCAAGAAGCCAACAAGCAAACAAGGGCAAGCTTTCATCCCAGTATCCTTTGGGAATTAGATTCACGAGCTCATCCTGTTTATGGCCAATTTCGGGAAGGGCTCACAAACAATCAAGAGACTGAAACGTCTGTCACCGCCAGTGACAAGCGTCAAGTCCCAGTGAGGAGAAACTGTTTTCCAAATACACAAAAACTGCACCTTGAGCTTACTCCTTGCTAAGCAGGAGTGAAGTGACAAGCCAAAGACAAGCTTCAAACGCCCCAAATCAAATGGAAAACTTCAAAGAGGAGCTCAAAACTCTTTAGTTTTTTAGATTAGCCCGTTGATTACCCCGACGCATACACCCTATGAAACACTATATCCTCTATTGGCTCATTAATCTCAATAACCGCTGTAATCATGCTAATATTTATCATCTGAGAAGCCTTCACATCAAAACACAAAGTTCTACAACCAGAACTAACTGCCACTAACATTCAATGAATCCATGGCTGCCCCCCTCCATACCATACATTCGAAGAACAAGCCTTTGTCCAAGTCCAAGAAAGGAAGGAATCGAACCCTCACATGCTGGTTTCAAGCCAACCGCATCAAACCACTTACGCTTCTTTCTTATGAGATGTTAGTAAACCAATTACATAGTCTTGTCAAGCCTAAATCACAGGTGAAAACCCTGCACATCTCACATGGCCAACCACTCACAATTCGGCTTCCAAGACGCCTCATCCCCTATCACAGAGGAACTTGTTGAATTACACAAGCCAAGGGCGACACGTGCAGAAAACCAAGCAGAGCTCCCTGAAATTCTGCACAAGTGCAGATGGCAGAGTCTGAGCCAAAAACCATCCCTCACCCCAATGATGACCAATGATGATCAAACAACATGGAAGATGACAGAGCAAGAGCATAAACCTTGGTTGATCTAGACTAGAAATCAGAGATGAATCACTGTCTGTCTTCAATCTCTGTGGGTGGAAAGAGCTGATTTAAGGCTCTGCTGCGAGGTGGGGGCAGGTTGTGCACGGCCAGGACCCTTCACTTCCCACCCACCCACCTCTCAGTGAAATAAAACTGCTTCTACATTATACCAACACAAAGGGCAATAAAGCCCCACACTAAGCCAAGAGAAGGACATCTCTGTCACCAGAAGTGTGTGTCACTGAAAGGACAATGACTTCATTGACTACACACCCTCAAGTAACCCATCAACTTATCGCCCGGCATCGAAGGAAGGATCTCACCCATTCAAAAGGGGACAAGAGGTTCCCCAACAGGGACATTGAGCAAACCCTCTGTGGTTTTGGGGGTTTCCACGGGGCAACGAAGATCGGTGTGACGATAACAGGCTTCCCAAGCCACATCACCCAGGTTTTTCAAAGCTAAACTTCACATGGAAACATCACTCTGAAAATTATTGTGAAGATTTCTGTTGCAAACACAAGTGTGGAAACGTCAGTCTCTGCCAGAATTCAGGTTTCCATGAGGCCGTGTTAAGACACAAGATAAGCTTGTGTTCCCATCTATTCCTTGGGTCAGGCTGCCACATCATTCCCCACTTAATGAATCAACGCACTGTTTAACAATTTTATCTTTCTCTTCCATATTTTCTTGTATTTATTACAAAGCTTCAGAACCCAGAAAGAAATCTAACATTCCTCATTTCCTGGTGGTGTTTTTTCTCGGATGCTCATTGTTCCGTGTTCCCAAAGCCTCACAAACATCCACTCTGTGTCTGCCTTTGTGAGATCAGAGGATTTCACAAATGGAAAAATACATTCATAAAGGAGCTGCGAGCCGTTTGGCCAACTGGTGACAGAGCCAGGATTCAAGACCTCTGGAATTCAAACCCTGAGCTTATTTCTCCAGCCGCAGCTGCCGAGCCGTCGCAGTTGTGACCCATCCCAGTTGCTCGAGTGGTCAAAGCTCAGCTCATCACTCCCCACACATCTAACGAAGCCAGCACCCTGAAAACATAGTGTGCATCACCCGTGGCCACCTGACAGGGGGCTTGGACTTCCCAAGCTTCATCTCAGAAATGAGAATTATCCCAGAGAAGGGTATTTCCTGCCTAAGCCACAGGACCAGCTCTCACCCGCGGGCTCTCCCCCTCCAACAGTCCCTTCAGACCCTTCCCATCTTTCATTCTGCTCAGCCTTTATTCCAAGAGGGAAAACAAGAGCTTGTCTGAACAGATTTAGGGAAGAACGTGCCAAATAAGAACCGCATCGTAGTATAACTGAAGGGGGGGGGGAGTGATGACTATATTTATCATCCCAGAATTTGCAAGTCAGAGCAGAAATCCACTTGTGCTTTTTTTTGTTTTAAATTGAAAACCATGTGATAAAAATACAGTTAGATGGAAAAACTAGCAATTCTAGCATTTTCTAACAAATCTGATACACCTGACTGTGCTACCTTGTTAGATAATTTATACGTTCATGAAAGGATAAAAATAAAATCAAAGTTCTATTAGGCCCACTTGTAACTGCTCCTGTCTATGTGCCACCAGGAGTTTGCAGCACACCCTGATCAACAGGAACAGCACCCTCTCGGCAATTTGTAAAGGGTTTATTGTTTTTAGCCCAAGTGGAAGAGAACAAGCTGCAGGAGGGGGTTCACAGCTCTACACAGCTCTGCCTCCTCCACGGCAGCACGACATGAGCACTGCAGGGAGCCTCAACCAGCCCTTCAGGAGAGTCACGCTGAAACGATGCCAAAACTTTGTTAAAAACATAAGCAGCCAAAAAGGAAGCCATTACTAAATAGGAATCAGGGGACAGAAGGCATTTCTTTTGGATCAAAGGCTGCAGGTAAACCTTCTGATACTTCATTTATCTGCCCCCAAAGGGACCTCCCTTTTCTAGGGAGCCACCTGCTGCTTTTATTCTCCGAAAAATCAAGATAACCCAAGTGCTGGCACAAAAGAGCACCCTGCAAAGCCTTGCCAAGCACCTTGAAGCTGAACTTCATTTCACATCGAGTAACATTTTCATCACAGGAATAATCAAGCAACAGAAGAGCTGTGTTAGTTCCCTACAGAGGGAGGGAACCGAGGAGCAACCTTCTAGGAAGTTTCAAGGCTCAATTCCAGTTCGACACAAAACCCTCCTATTTACTGAAGCTCTTTGGTTCAACAACATAAATACTTAAGAGTAACTGTGCCGTGACAAAAACATAAGTTATCTGTTGCCATAGCAAAATACGAGCTTCTGATTCACCTCTCAGAGATACCACAAAGACCAGGATAATCCCAAGTCTTGGGAATACTGCGTGAACACGAGTTAAATCACTGCTTTTCAATGTATCAAATTAATTACACGCTCCCCTCTGTGTGTGAAGGGAGATAGCTGGAGGTATGGGGGAACAACTGCTGTCTGTACAGCTGCTGGAGCAAGTTTTAAGGTGTCAAGGCTACAATGAGACACACTTTGTTATGAGAGGACTTTAAAAAGGCAATTTTTAGAAAAGGGTGTTGAATAATGACAGTTGTTACCCAGTACCTGCTCAGGGGGCGACCAGGTAGGTATGTGCTCTAGCCCTGCCCACCAAAGCTGGGCAATCCTTCCTGAGGGTCCCTTCCAAACGACCAGAAAACATCAGACAAACCTTCCCAACTGACCATTTCACGCTCCCCAAACCAACTCTCTCTGCAGGAAACCATCCCCTGGGGGCTGCCCCCTCTCTGGGGGCCAGGAATCGGCTCAGCAATACCAGACAGGGGCATTAACTACCCTTAAAGACTACTGGGTCCACCCTGGCCAGCTCCATCAGATATTTCCACACACACACACTCGCTGT